GGGGGGGGGGGGGGTCTCCGTGAAGCTTTGGGCAGCAGTTACACTACCCCCTTTTGAAGGATTCTGGAAGTGGTGGACCAGAGACCTCGGAGGGAGGGGATGTCGAAGAATCGCAACCCGGGCCATCCTTTGTAGGCGCTTGCGATGCCACGGCAGGCATCGAAGACCTCGATTTCCCTGGAATAAAAGCAGAGCAAAGGGGAGAACCCCTATCTCTTTTAGCCCTGGAGTGCCGTGGGAACCGGCACCTGGAAGTTAGAGCCCCCGTTAGCTCCCTGCGCTACGTCAGTCCACTCGCCGAGCTCCTGCTTGGAGTCGGGAAGTTCTTGGCGCGAAACCTCAGGCCCCGCCCGAAGAGCTGCGTCGGGCAGGGCACCGGCTGAGCAGTAGCGCAGCAGCTGCCGCCACTCCCCACACCAGCCCCCCAGAGCGCGCGCCGCTGCCCATCGCCTCCAATCGTTACCCTGCGTGGAGCGCCTTAAATATGCAGAGGCGCGTCACGTCGTGTGGATCGGGATCAATCCGCAGGGAGCAATCCAGTATATATAAATGTTGCCTGGGTAGGCCGAGAAGGGTTAAAAAGCTGGAGAAGAGAGAGGTGGGCGGGGGTCTACACAACCCGGGTGAGCGCAGCCCTGGTTGGCAAACCGGTGAGTTGCTCCTCTCTTTGCCCTCCCTCGCTGCTTCTATCGAAGGAGTGCTGACCCAGGGAGGTGGGAGGTGCTCGGCGCGAGCTGTCCTGAGGCAGCTCGCACCCCCACAAGGAGGTGGCATTTTGGCCCGGGAGCCGTCGGACTCCGGAAAAAGTCGAGCTCGAGGGTTTCTATAAAGGCACGTTCCCTAAGGGCGCGTAGTCACTGCGATCCTCCGCTGCCCCTCTGCTTGTAGAGCGAAACCCCTGGTAAATCTCAGTTTTGGTCCCCAAGCCTCCGGGCCCTTTCCGGACAGAACAGGTGAGCACTGCGCGCTGCAGCTCCGGCGCTTCCTGCGCTTGGAGCGGCCCGGCCCCCGCAGGCTCGCCATGTTACCCTGGGGGCTGAGCTGCCTGTCCGTGCTGGGGGCGATGGGCACCGCGCTCCTGGGCACGGGCCTGCTACTCAGCCTGGCGCAGCACCTCTGGACCCTCCGCTGGACGCTGAGTCGGGACCGAGCCTCCGCCCTGCCCCTGCCCAAAGGCTCCATGGGCTGGCCCTTCTTCGGGGAAACGCTGCACTGGTTGGTTCAGGTGAGCAGTCGGTCGTTTCCGCACCCCGATACGGCCCATCTTCTCTGTCCCCCACTGCCTCTCAAGGTCCCCAGGGCTCGTAGCCATTCTCTTCCTGTCGCCCAGGGCTCCAGGGAGCATATACAGTCCTCCCCTCTACTCAGCTTCTCCTTCGAAGGGACCGTATGTCACTGGCGTTCTCTCCAGCACAACCTAAGACCCGACGCCACGCAGGGATGAGCAGAGGGGTTCTAGAGCCCTATGTCCTGCCACCATTGAATCGGGAGTCAGGGGCGCGTCTCAGCCCTCAGCTCTTTGGCACTCGGGTCCCCATTCTAATCCTGTTTCCTCATCTCACCAATGGGAACGGGAGCATGTACATTCCCGTAGGGTGGTCAGTCGCGAGATCCCTTTGAGACCGTTTTGTAAAGAATAAGATGCCAGCCTGGAGCAGGAGGTTTTTATCAAGAGGCAGTTGGGATGCCTGCTAGTTTCGCAGCCGAGGCCCAGCGGCCCCATCCCTCTTCGCTCCTGGCTCGCAGGGCTCTCGCTTCCACAGCTCCCGCAGGGAGCGCTACGGGACGGTGTTCAAGACGCACCTGCTGGGCAGGCCAGTGATCCGCGTGAGCGGCGCCGAGAACGTGCGCACAATCCTGCTGGGAGAGCACCGCCTGGTGCGCAGCCAGTGGCCGCAGAGTGCGCACATCCTTCTGGGCTCGCACACACTGCTCGGCGCGGTTGGAGAGCCGCACCGGCAGCGGCGCAAGGTGAGCCCCAAACAGAAGCGGCCGTCGAGACGTCGGACCGGCGGCTTCTGAGCAGCTGCCGTCGGCCAGGCCGGGCGAGGTGTTAGGGATCCGCTGTGAACCTGACCAGGGCCCCTGACAAGTGGGTGGCATTGGGCTAGTAGTCCCTTATCTTCTCAGGGTTCGGCTTATAAGGCCGGGACTGGGACTTAAAGATCCTTTCATCTTCGATCTTCTGCGACTCTGATGCCAGAAGCGATGGAAATTCAAACTCAGTGTTAGGGACGACTTCCTGGAGTAGGTGGCCCCTGGAGCCTGGATGGAGAGGAGGCACGGTGTACATCAGACAAGCACTAGAGGGAATGGCGAGAGCAAAACCCAACACATTTGGGTCCGGGTCGCTTAGAAGAGGAAGAAGGGGCCGAAATTGGCCTCTTGACTCCGCTGGAGTCGTGGAGCAGAGGAAACCGGACGGCTGCCAGGGCTGACCCTGTGCGTTCCCCTCAGATCCTGGCTCGAGCGTTCAGCCGTGCGGCGCTGGAGCACTACGTGCCTCGCCTGCAGGGGGCGCTGCGGCGGGAGGTGCGCTCCTGGTGCGTGGCCCGCGGGCCGGTCGCTGTCTATGAGGCCGCTAAAGCGCTCACCTTCCGCATGGCCGCGCGCATCCTGCTGGGGCTACAGCTAGACGAGGCGCAGTGCTCCGAGCTGGCCCGGACCTTCGAGCAGTTCGTGGAGAACCTCTTCTCGCTGCCCCTCGATGTGCCTTTCAGCGGCCTGCGCAAGGTACTGACGCCCCGCCCGCCCCAGACCTTCTCTTTGGGGCTCCCTTGCTGCGCGATAGGCATCACCTCTGCTGGGAGATGGAGGCTTTGCCCAGTGTGGGGAAGCGGCATGGTGGCGGTGGGCCTTGGGGCTGGTCTCTGTCCTGACTCGCTGTGTGAGCCGGGGCGGGCCACACACCCTCTCTGGACCACGCCTGGCGGGCCGAGCTCCAGCCCCAGCAGCCGCGGGCTTCCCGACGTTGGGTCTCGGTGGCGGGAGCCAAGCCAGTCGCCCCGGCCCCTCCCGAGAGCGGCGCCTCCAGGCCCGGCTTGCAGCGCCTCTTTGGAAGCCCCGTGGCTGGGCAACGGATGGGAGCACAAGGGCCGCAGACACGCCCCTGGCCCAGGCCGGCGCCAGCCCGGGTTGGAGAGGGGTGGGTGTCGGCTCACCGCCCGCGGCCCCAGGCCCGCTAGTTTCCGGATTAGAGAACCATGGCCTCTTCAAACTTCAGAGCAATGGGCCGGACTTAGAGAGCAACTGATCTGGGACTTCTTACCGTGCCAATGTCCTGGTTTTCATTCACCCAATTAAAAATAATAGTTATGTGTAAAGGGACCTGGTATATGGACCAATTGCCTTGGGTACATTTTTCTGATTTAATCCTCTCAGTTGCAAAATATTATTCTCATTTAATTGATGAAGAAACTGAAGCTCCAAGAGGTTAAATGACTTGCCCAAGATCACACAGCTAGTAGGGGCAGAGGCAAGGTTTGACAACCCCCCTCCCCCCACTCCCCGCCTCATCCTTGTTTCCCCTGAGAAGAAGCCAATGTCCTCAAAATGCTTCCCCTGGCAGATGCTTTCTCACTGTGCTTGCTCCCTGAACTCTGGGGGACCATCCCAGCCCTCCTGCTTACCCCTTTACAAAGGCTAATGTTTAGAACTTCCAGTAGTGTCCTTTAAGCCAGAGCTTTCCTGAGTACATCAAGGTGTTCCTTCCTCTCTGCACTGGTGCCTACTGCCCCTGCATGCAGGGGAAGGGTGGTGGGCTAACTCCCAGGTTCTCTGCCAAGCACAGACACTTGAAGCTGCGTGACCCTGGGCAATTGCTTGACCTCTCTGAGCCTCAGCATCCTTCCCTTAGGAGGACAGTAAACTGCCTTGCTCCAAAGAGGGGCTTGTGATCATCAAGAGATAATGGTGTATGAGGGTAATGGACAAATTCCTGAGCCTTTATTGAGTCCCTTCAACAGTGTGGAGCTAAGCTGGGAATCTGTTAATGCTGGCTTTCAGCAGAGCCAGACCAGCACTGGGAAGATGTGGGGGGTAGGTGTCCAGGGCTAACCCCCTCTGCCTTCCTACCCCAACTCCCTTCTCTCCCCACACATCAGGGCATTCGGGCGCGGGACCAGCTGCATCGGCACCTGGAGGAGGCCATTGTGCAGAAGCTTCTTGAAGACAAGGCTGCTGTGGAGCCAGGCGATGCCCTCGATGGGATCATCCACAGCACTAGGGAACTGGGCCATGAGCTCTCAGTGCAGGAACTGAAGGTATGTGGCCAGATTTCTCCTCCCCTCTTTTGCATTTATAGCAGGTCTCTACACACAGGCTGAATCCCTGGAACAACGGAGCAACATCCTCTTTGGCCCCACTTGGAGCCACAGACACGCCTCAGGGTGAGGGAAAGAGGAGACCTGGGTCCAGTCATGGCTCAGCTGCACCCCCTACCTCTGTGGCTTTGGGCCAATTGAAAGCCTGAATCCTGGGTCCTCCCTTACAGCTTCTGGCAGCAAACAGCTCTCCTCTTCCCCACTTCTCTGTCACTTCATGCTTTTGCCTCTGCTGTCTGCCTGCCTATGACTCTGTCTTCACCCCTTTTCTCTACAGATCCTAAGGGTTCAGGGTCAAATTCCAGTTCCTTGAAGTGCCCCCTTTCCTCCCCAAATCTACACGTCCATGAGCCACCTTGGCACTTGGTACCTTGGGTACTGGTCAGTTTTGCCAATGAGAATCTACTGGAGAATTAGAAACTGTCCGCCCCCCCCNTCCCCCCCCCCCCCCCCAGCCGTGTATGCATAGAACACATGCAGTGGAAGTAAGGAGGGAAGCTTTGGAATGACCCCTGGGCCCACCTGCCTGAGAACCCAAAAAGGAATGGAGAGGTTGGGGGAGGGGGGGCAGGGGAGTTAGAAATGGAAACGCTTCATCCCTTCCATAAGCAACTCCCATTCTTTCTCTGGCACTCAGTTTCCCACTAGCGAGCCACTGAAGGGTGGGGCTCAGCCTGAGTATCTTCTCTGAAAATGGGACTAAATCTCTTTCCTGACTTCTGGGTGGTTGTGAAGTCTGGAAGAGTCAAGGGGTTGGAGGTAGATGAGCAGGGGGCGCTGGTGAATCCTGGGGGAGCCGGTGGGTAGGAATAGTTCTAGGCTGGGAAGGGGAGTGGTACGGAAAGAAGTGGACAGTCCCTCTGCCTCAGCAGAGCGGTGGAGAGCATGACAACACGGTCCGGGTTCTCCGGAAGGGATCCACTAGCCAGAAATCTTCAGGTCTGGCTGGTCGGGAAGGACCTTGGAGCCCCGGGGTCTCTGTCCCAGCTCCCCATCTTCTCCAGAGCAGGCAGTTAGCCTTGGATCAGCTCATTCATTCCACAAGCAGATTCTACCTATTCAGTGCCAGGCTCTCTCTATACAAAGAGCAAACATAGCCTCTGCTGGAGAGGAGGGGTCCACAGGGTTGTGATCACATCCATCAGTGTGTAAACACACAACCTGGTGCTGCCAGAAAGGAAGATGCCATGCCAGGAGTTGGGAGGGCACAGGCAGGCATTGAGGGCTGGGGCCTGGGTGATGAAGCCTCCAGACAGTGCAGACGGGGAAGAGGTATAGTCACTCACTGGGACCACCACTAAGCGGGAGGAGGACCACAGTGCTCGCTTTGGTGCCAGGCTGCGGCTGCAGATGCCTTGGTCAATTCCACAGCAGTCACGGTCAGGACGGCCAGCTGCATTGTCGGCAACACCGCATGGTTAAGAGCGCTGGACTCCTGGCCCGACTACTGGGTCTGGTGACCGCAGGGACCTTGGGCACCTCTCAGAGCCTCAGTAAAACGGGCAGAAAATGTGCCACACACAATGCGGGTGAAAATCCAATTCACTTAAAGCACTAAGAACATTACACCAAAAAAGTTCCTGGCATTATCTAGGGGAACCTCCCAAGGCTATCTGTGGTTTCCCCAAGTGGCGGACTTGGGATTCAATCCACTCCTGGACCCGCGCAAGTAGCCATGCCTCCGAGCACTCTGCGCTCTGGTCTGTGCGCAGTGGCAAATGTGGGGCCCCCTGCACCACAGCCCGAGAACCGGCTAATGGAGACAGCGCCCCTGGGCTGTCTTGCAGGAGTCAGCTGTGGAGCTCCTCTTCGCCGCCTTCTTCACCACGGCCAGTGCCAGCACAGGCCTCGGGTGGCGGCGCTGGGCCCCCGCCCGACTGCGGTTGCGAGCCCGACCTCAGCCTGGCGGCGCTGGGCCACCTGCGCTACGTCGGCTGCGTGGTCAAGGAGGTGCTGCGCCTCCTGCCGCCGGTGTCCGGGGGCTACCGGACAGCCCTGCGCACCTTCGAGCTCGACGTAAGTGCGCCGCCCGCCCGCCCCGCCTTGCAGCCGCCCGCTGGGAGGTGGGGTAGGGTTAGGACCGCCCTGTCTCCTTTTACCTTCTCCCGGCCTCCTGGAAAATGGGCTGAATCCTATCACGTTTCCCGGGAACCACGGTTGAGGACGCAAAGCAAGGTTAGGGACCCCGGGCTACGTGCTAAATTGCTTCAGTCGTGTCCGACTCTTCGCGATCCCATGGACTGTAGCCCTCCAGGCTTCACTGTTCATGGAATTCTCCAGGCAGGAATAGTGGAGTGGGTTGCATTTCCTCCTCCAGGGGATCTTGCTAACCCAGGGATGGAACCCACGTCTCCTGCATTGGGAGGTCGTTTCTTTACCACTAGCGCCACCTGCGAAGATTTGACTGCGGTCTGGGTAGTCAATTAGAGGCCAGTTTTAGAATAAAATCACCGTTTTCTCTGCCCAGCAACCCCCTTTCAGCCAGTGAGGTCGGGTAGGGCACAAAGAGCCGCCCACTCTGTCCTGTACCCCATTTCTCTGGCTCTCTCACAAGATAAAGGGACCAATCATTGCTACCTGTCCAGGGTTCTGGCTGAGGCCAGGTTCCAGGAAAGCGGGATTATTAAAGTATGGGTAGTGGTCAAGTTGGCATGAGCTGGGCAACAAAGTTAAGGTTTAGGCCCGGCTTCATCTCTGTATGACCTTGGGTAATTCCCTGCTCACTCTGAGCCTCAGTTTGCTCTCTGGAAGGAAGCTGCCTTGGTCCCTTCCACCTTTAATTCAGGGGAGAGGAAGGCTAACGCTGCCATACTGAGGGTGTTTGCCACTGCACCCCTCCCATCCCCACCCCCAGCCCCATCTCTGGGCAGCTCCAGGCAGAGGGGCACCTTCTCCCCTCTGCCTTAAACAGCCAGTGTCCCCATTGCATGCCAGAGTTTGAGAGAATGAGATGACTGGATGGAATCAGGGACTCAAAGGACATGAATTTGAGCAAACTCCTGGAGATAGTGAAGGACAGGGAAGTCTAGCATGCTGCAGTCCACAAGGTGGCAAAGAGTCGGACATGACTTAGCAACTGAACAAGAGAAAGAAATTCTGCCCTTGAAGCGCTGTTGTGGAGAGAAAGGGGGCCAGAGCCAGCAACTTCATCACAAACTGGTGTGAAGAAGAGAGTGACCTCTAGCTGAATGATACCAAAACATTTTGGGAACTGGCATTTGAATTGGAGCAGTGAAAGGTTAAGATGGGGACCACACATCACCAAGAGGGCATGGTCCAGACAAAGGTAGATGGATTAGTGAGGTGTTTAGTAGTGTCTGGGATGCTGAATTTTGGTGTCCAGACATCACTGAGCAGGCGCTGGGGTGCAAGACTCAGGGAAACTAAGGTGGAAGAGCACTGGACCACCAGAGTGAATAGGGGCAGGGGTCTTAGCCATCCTCCAGGTTCCAGATGGGAAAACAGGCCTAGAGAGGAGACGGCATGCCTTGGTGATTCCAAGATTTTCTGTTTGCCTGTTGAGAGCAAGGCTCTCCTGAAGCCTGTTCTAGGGAGGAAGCCGGATAGTTGGGGCTGGAAGACCTCTCAAAACTGGAATAGTTGAAATAGTTGAAAAAGGTGAACTAAGGGAACATGAAAGCTGCCTTCATCATTTTAAGCTTCCTTCCAACAATTTAATCCTCACATGCACCTTCTCAGAGTGTGGCTACTGGATCTGAAGGTTATGTACAGCTCATGGCTAGTGAGTATAGAGAGGCAGTTTTCAGTTGAGTGTAAAGAACTGAAATATTGAGATAACCCCTAAAGGAGCTGTCGTTTGCATTGCTCTGACGCAGGCAGCTGGTGCATGCAGCACTCCTAATGTGAGAAGAAAACAGACAAGACAGTGAACAATAACAGAGCACACTTATTGACCACTAATACATGTTGACCACTAATACATGTCAGACCCGTTATTTGAATCCTCACAACAAAGCGGGCATTTTTGTTCTCACTTGATCTCTTAAGAAAGTGAGACTCAGAGATTATGTAGCCACCGTCACACAGCTCACCAGAGAAGGAGCTGAAATAGACGGGAATGCAAAGCGTCTCCTAGCTTCCGGTTAAGACGCACGTCCCTGACTGTTCGGAAGCCTGTTTGATGAACCGCGGGTGAAGGATCGGTTAGGGCTGGGTTTCCGGGTGCCTGGTGGTCAGGCGGGTCTCCTCACCTCCCCGCAGGGCTACCAGATCCCCAAGGGGTGGAACGTGATGTACAGCATCCGAGACACGCACGAGACGGCCGCAGTGTACCGCAGCCCGCCGGAGGGCTTCGACCCAGAGCGCTTCGGCACTGCGGGCGACGATGCGCGGGGCGCCGCCGGCCGCTTTCATTACATCCCGTTCGGCGGCGGTGCGCGCAGCTGTCTTGGCCAGGAGCTGGCGCAGACCGTGCTCCAGCTGCTCGCGGTGGAGCTGGTGCGCACGGCGCGCTGGGAACTGGCCACGCCTGCCTTCCCCGCCATGCAGACCGTGCCCATTGTGCACCCGGTGGACGGGCTACGGCTCTTTTTCCACCCTCTTGCGTCTCCGGCGGCGCAGGATGGGCAACGCCTCTGACCTGCTGCGCTGTGGAACCTGGCTTGGCCAGCGGCCGCGGCGCGCTTGTGGCGCCGCCCATCTGCCGTTCTCCAGTGCCGGATCCGGCGCGCTCTCATTCACCAAAAGGTTACTGAACGCGGCTCTGTGTCCGACTCTGAGGGAGGAGACTCATGAGCCACCGCCACTGCACTTGGAGAAGCGTCCTGGCTGGTGGGACGGTGCCTCCAACACTTCGCACCCTTAGAGAGGAAAGGTGGTGGGCCAAGTCTCTTACGCCCTTCCCAGGATTTCAAAGCAGGGATGGTGGGAACATTTCCCCTAGGATTCAAGGGGGGGAGGAGGCATGGGTCGAGGGGAGGTGGGGTGGATTGGGCCGTCGAATGACGGAGGACCTGCAACTGTCGCGAGGAAGCGGGGATGCCAGGAGCGCATCTCTGGCCTGGCTTTGGGCCATAGGAAGACACTGAGAAGGCGCCCAACGGAAAGCCTTCAGGCAGCTGGCCTCCTTTAGGTGCGCCCTGGCCACTCTGCCTGTCTCGGCAGAAACCCAGAATTGCGGGCGCTTTCAGGGCTCTAAACAGGATCAACAGCACCGGATTCTACTGGCGATTTCTTAAAAGAAAAATTCCTAGTTCAAGAACGCATATAATCTTTCCATTTATACAGGAGAGAATAGGTACACCAGGAGGATTCTAAGGCTGGATTATTTTCATGGGAGGTTGAGACATAATCAGAGAGGTTTGGGGTATTTGTACCCAAAACAGGAAGGCCGAGAAATCGTTTCCTGGCAGTGGTTGAGTGAGGAGGCTGCAGCTTAGCTGGGCAGCTGCTCCTCTGTGGGAAAGTGGGATAGAGGTGGCAGAGACTCAAGAAAGACCTCCTCCCCGGAAGGGCCTGCCCTTCATATACCCAGAGAGGGGCTAGGAACTGGACAGCCTGGGGCTCAGGCTGCTGGAACCTTGCTTGAGCATAGCCCCAGGGAACTGAGCTACAGATTATCTCCAAGATGATAGCTGACTGCAGGGATGCCCTGGTTTACTGCTTCAACCTCCTCCATTACAAGGAGAGACTGAGGCCAGAGACTAGACCACTCAGCCAGTGCTCTCCTTCACCCCATCCCTTACCCCCTGCTCCAGTCTCTGGCCTGTGGCCACCATGTAGCTCTTGGCCTTTTATCCTTTCATAGTGATCCCTAGGTTGGCCTAAGGACGCTCTGGACCTTTCCAACACAAAAGTTCCCAACAGTGCTTAAATCTAAACCAAGAGCCTCTTTTTCCCCTAACAGCCCACTGTAACCTGCTGGCCCCCTTTGGACAGGCTGGGGGCAGTTGAACGTGATGGGTGAGCAACTTCCAGAGAAGTTGCTGCCAAGTCCTGAGCTGACCCTTTAGTGAACCAGAAGGAACCAGAAAGTGCCCTCCTGACCTTAGGCTTAAGGTGGATCCTGGGGCCAGAAGGGAAGGGGAAGCATCAGGCTTAGGCAGGGCCGGTTGCTCAAGAGCAGGAGCACAGCGGGCCGTTCTGAGCTCAATTGACAGTCCTAACCCCCATCTGCAACAATTCATCACCCACCGCTGACCACAGGCCCTGGCGCCATGGGATCTGCAGGCAGGCGCCAGAGCCACAGAGCCGGTGAAAGTGGTAGATCTGAGGCCTGCCCTCAGGGCGCTCCTGACACTGCAGAGACATCTCAGCCCAGAAGCTCCACTAGGGTGAGGTGGTGGGAAGACCAGGGCTTGGGGTTGATTCTGATTTGAGGAGAGATAGATGGGGCAAGGGCTCTCATAAGCCTGAACTTCCCAGGTTCCAAGAGACCTGGTTTACGTGCTGTGGAGCCTGTACTAAACTATAAGCCTCTGAAAGGGCAGCTTCAGTTTTATTGTGACTTCCCAGTGATACATCGACTCATCATTTCAAGGAAAAATCAGAGCTTTTGCTTCTCCTGATTCTCTGAGAAAGGAGCAGATGCAATTTTTACCCTCTTGGACTTGGTATGCTCTCAAAAGAAAGAGACAGTAAATAAACTAACAAACGAGCAAGAATAATTCTGATGATGGTAGAGCTGTTTGGAGAGAATAAACCAGGCTTGTCGTACAGGTGCCTGGCAGCTCTGCTGGGCCGGCTGGGGCCCGGAAAGAGTGGCATTCGACTTTGGAAGGAACCAGCCAGGGATGTCCGGGGATAGAAGAGCCTCAAGCAGAGAGTACAGCAGGTTTAGAACCGAAGGTGGGAATCAGTGCTCAAGACAAGGGAAGAAAGTGTTGAGGGGAGAAAAGTGGGGGAGGGGTGCTTCAGCTGACCCCACTCAGGAGCTTACCTCCCTGCCCAGCAAAGAGCTACTCCCCACCCCTGCCAGTCCTTCGCACCAGTTTGTTTTGTAAACATCTTAGAAACATTATTTTGTTTTCCAGCGAACCAAGCCCTCTCCCTACCCACCAGCACCCAAGAAAGCCTGGCAAGGTTTCTAGATCAAAGTTCTTATTGGGTTGGTCATTTACTGACCCTTCCCCTCTTGAAGATGCTCTTTAGTGCTCTTCACTATCCCATTTAATCCTTTCCCCCTGTCGCCCAAGCGGGGCTGGATGGCAGATAGAGTAAAAGATTTTTCCCCTTGGTGGCGATTTCCAGCGGGCAGGCCCCGCTCATCTTGTGACCCGGCGCGCGCTGAACTTGGCGAGATGGCCCTGCAGAGTTCACTCAGATGTCACGGTCCGGCCCGCAGGGGTCACAGGCGGGTCAGGCCGGAGGACTGGGACTGGGCCCCAGGTCACGCCCCCGCTGGCCTGCTTTGCTCACCGGCCGGAGGCACCGTCCAGAAAGGGGCGGGCCTGGGGTTTCTGAGAATTACCTCCAGCGCGTCTCGCCCCGGTTCCAGCCGGTGCCCCAAGTGGTCTGTCACTGTTTACAGTTGTCAGTTCATTTGAAGAAACGATTTTGGGACAGACTCTTCCCTGGAGCCTCTGAAACACCAATGTAGTGTTATGGTGAGACGCCGATTCTCCGAAAGACATCCTGCGGCTAACCAGGCGTGGAAAGTTTCTGCGAGGGTGAGGTCCCGGCGACTCCGCAGACATTGCCCGACCCGCCGGGTTGGGGAACCACTGCGGGAAGGTCGCGTATTTAACTAAACAGCTCTCAGGATCAAAGTGTTTTCCATCTCCAAGGGACGCTTTCCAAGGCATGAGGCTCGCTCCTGTGAGAGCCGGTCTTCGGTTTTAAACAAACTTATACATCATTGTTTCGTTTTCGGCGCGACTGGTGGGTTCAGCGTTGAAATCGAGGGAGCGAGTGGCCCTGACTGGTCCGAGGCAGTTCGGACCCTGTCCCACTGGCTCGACCGGGTTGGAAACGGGGAGAGCGCACGTGCGCTTCCCGCAGTGTCCGAGCCCCAGGCTGTGGCTGCAGGAGCAGCCAATTGTATAGGGGGGCAATGGCCAGAAGACCCACTTTCCAGTGACGATTCTCTCAACACTCTTAATCAGCGGCCGGCAGAGGCCTGGGTTTAGGACCCAGCACTCCCTCTCTGCTGGGTGGATTTCTGCCGGGTGGGAGCTGGAGAGCCCAGGTCACCCCGGTAAGGTACCCTAGCGTGCCTGGGACTGGGGAGAGTATGTGCAACCACAAGCCCCTTTTGGAAACTCACAACAGTCCGGACGTGTAGACTGGTCAGGAAAGATCACCTCCACATCAAGGAGGAGGAAACGGGCTCAAGGATGTGCGGTGACTTGCCCAAGATCATTCAAATAGCGTGCCTGGGACTGGGGAGAGTATGTGCAACCACAAGCCCCTTTTGGAAACTCACAACAATCCGGACGTGTAGACTGGTCAGGAAAGATCACCTCCACATCAAGGAGGAGGAAACGGGCTCAAGGATGTGCGGTGACTTGCCCAAGATCATTCAAGTAGAGGTGGATCTGGGACTCAGAGCCCAAACTCTGAGCTTTCCATCCATCCTCCTGCATCTCAGTGTCTTTATCCTGCCAGGATTAAGGACCCTCTTCCCTTCTGCCTAGCTGGAGCTGCTAACCCCAGGGCCCTCGGAATCCGACTTTGGCCGGATTGCAGAGCGCTGTTTGCCGCTGAGCCGCAGATGAATTGCCCCTGCGTTCCCGGGCTAGGGAGTCAAGAGTCAGGGCTCAGACTTGAGCAGGGCTGCACCAGGAGTCCTGAGGATCTGGGGGCTCTCTTGTACCTTTAAGTAGGACCTTCCAAGATTTCATGACTGTGAGCCTCGAGGGGTTTGGGGAGCTGGGAATTAGTGGTCAGCTGGTCGTGACTCCCCGCAACTCTCACTTGGGTCCTGGCCCTGGGCTCTTCTGTGAGGTCTCTGGAAGTCAGGAGGCCTGCGTTTTGCTCTGCATTCTGGACCTCAGTTTCCCCACCTGTGGGACAAGGCAGCTGAAGACCCCTGAACGCACTCCCCTTTACTTCCTCTGCAGGTGGAAGGGGGCCCTGTAAAACAGAAAGCGGGTGCAAGCTGCTCTGGGCTGGGACCGCCCGTCGGGCCCGGCGGGAGGGATTCCGAAGAGACCGCCAAGGAGCCACGGGGCGTGGAGTTTCCGCTCGCCGGAGTCCCTGCCGCCGTCCGGGAGCCCCGCACACTTTGAATGGGGGCAGCAGGCTGCTCCTAGCCGGGCGCCCCAGGAGGCGCGCTCCGAGAGAAGCCGCCACGGCGCCGCCTCTGCCTCGGCGCGGAACAAACGGTTAAAGATTTGGGCAGCGCCTCGCGGGGGGAGGAGCCAGGGGCCCAATCCGCAATTAAAGATGAACTTTGGGTGAACTAATTTGTCTAAGGTAACGTGGGCAGCAACCTGGGCCGCCTATAAAGCGGGCGCGCGGCGGGATCCAGAGCGCTGAGGGTGGCGGCAGGTGGCGCGGGAGGTCGCGGCGCGCCATGGGGCTCCCGGCACTGCTGGCCAGCGCTCTGTGCACCTTCGTGCTACCGCTGCTGCTCTTCCTGGCCGCGATCAAGCTCTGGGACTTGTACTGCGTGAGCAGCCGGGACCGCAGCTCTGCCCTCCCTTTGCCTCCCGGAACGATGGGCTTCCCCTTCTTTGGGGAAACACTGCAGATGGTGCTACAGGTAAAGGAGCTTGGGGCGGGATTGGACGATTCTCCCGAGCCCGACTCGGCTCCAGACTTCCACTGAAGCGCCCCCCGGGAGGGAGGTGACGGGGGCTAGGATCAGGACCGGAGGGAGGCTCCGCGCTCCCCGGCGCCCCCTCACGCCCGCCTCTCTCCTCCGCTTTCCTCTCGCAGCGAAGGAAGTTCCTGCAGATGAAGCGCAGGAAATACGGCTTCATCTACAAGACGCATCTGTTCGGGCGGCCCACGGTGCGGGTGATGGGAGCGGACAACGTGCGGCGCATTTTGCTCGGAGAGCACCGGCTGGTGTCCGTCCACTGGCCCGCGTCAGTGCGCACCATCCTGGGTTCTGGGTGCCTCTCTAACCTGCACGACTCCTCGCACAAGCAGCGCAAGAAGGTGAGGGAGGGGTGGCGGCGCCTGGACAGGAAGTGGGACCCGATTCGAGTAAGGGGTTCGGGCAGATAGGTGCTGGGCGGGAGCCAGCTGCATAAGGCATCGGCTGGGACCCTCTCAAACCCAGTGTAACTTTCCCAACCAGGAAGTGCTTTGGATCTGGTGGGGTTGTAGATGTCTGGAAGGAGACCCTGGAAGGCAAGAGAGGCGGGTGGAGCCCGGCTTTAACACTCTTCCCTCCTCGGAGTTCAGGTGATTATGCAGGCCTTCAGCCGCGAGGCCCTTCAGTGCTACGTGCCAGTGATCGCCGAGGAAGTGGGCAACTACTTGGAGCAGTGGCTGAGCTGCGGCGAGCGCGGCCTCCTGGTCTATCCCCAGGTGAAGCGCCTTATGTTCCGCATCGCCATGCGCATCCTGCTGGGCTGCGAGTCCCGAGTGGCGAGCGGCGGGGAAGACGAGCAGCAGCTGGTAGAGGCCTTCGAGGAAATGACCCGCAATCTCTTCTCGTTGCCCATAGACGTGCCCTTCAGCGGACTGTACCGGGTAAGGGCGCCTTGTAGGGTTCGGAGCTAGAGCTCCGGGGTCATGGGATCCGGACTTCTGCTCACCACGGTGCGCTCTCTGCGCTCAGGGCCTGAAGGCGCGCGACCTCATCCACGCGCGCATCGAGGAGAACATTCGCGCCAAGATCCGCAGGCTGCGGGCGGCGGAGGCGGGCGGGGGCCGCAAAGATGCCCTGCAGCTGTTGATCGAGCACTCGTGGGAGAGAGGAGAGAAGCTGGACATGCAGGTGAGCCGCAGCTTCAGGAGCAGCACGGCGAAGTTTGATCCCCTGGCTTCCCAAAAGCAGGTCCTAGGGTCTCCAAAGTGCGCGCAGAGGGGCCCGGGTTCCCAAAGTGAGAAGCCCTCCCAGACCCCAGGGACTGGACCCAGAGGTTGAGATACCGGGTCTGCAGAGCTCTGGGGAGAGGCCTTGTTGCCCATCCCTTTCAGGTTTTAAAGGGAAAGTTGGAATTTGCAAGATGTGAGTAATGTTGGGTGACTTTAATACAGCTAACGCTTTAAGAGTTCCAAGGAGAGTGGGAACTTACTGGACTTCCGTGCTCTAGCTGAACTAAAGGGCCTTAGCATTTTGTTTATTTTATTTTATTTTTTTAGCATTTTGTTTAAATGGATTTTCTGTCAGCCAATTTTCAGCCCTTCTCATCTTCCCTCCTGAATCCTCAGTTCTATTCTGAGTGGTTGCTCTGTAAAATTGCATGCAGACTTGTCAAAACGTTGGTCTTAATCCACTTGTAGGCATTAAAGCAATCTTCAACAGAACTCCTCTTTGGAGGGCATGAAACCACGGCCAGTGCAGCTACGTCTCTGATCACTTACTTGGGGCTCTACCCACATGTTCTCCAGAAAGTTCGAGAGGAGCTGAAGAATAAGGTAGGGGATCTGGCGGTGGGGGTGGGGTGTTCGCATGAGTTGGGGAGGGGGTGGTGGTGGCTATTAGCTGAAAACCTCAGCAGCTCTCTAGCCAAGTTCCCAATAGTTAAGTGTGCTGCCTACCTTGAGTATCTGGGAAGTACAGGGTCAAGGGTGGGTGGGTTGGATGATGGGAAAGAGAATTAGCTGTGTGAATAAGAAGGAGGGAACCTTGGGCTGTGATCCCACTCCGGCAGGGTTCAACCTTGTGTTTCTTCTCCACTTTTGGTGGATCCTTGGAGATTTTCAGACTTTCTTGGATCTGTGTGTTCAAGGACATGAATGGGGAACCCCTAGGGGGTTGCGGTGGCAGCCAGCAGCCTTGGTGGGGACTGGGGGAGGGGGAGAAACTTGGCTGTTCTAACTGGTGAGCTGCATTATCTTGGAATTGTAAACAATGGTTTGGGTCCAGGGGTGGAGGCAAATGGTCACTAGCTGCTCCTTGTTTCCCCCTCACGCTCTGGGATCACGAGGCTCTTTGGGTCCAGCCGCCACTTAAGCCCTGTTTACGTCTGCTGCACTGATTTTATTGGAGCGCAGAATAACCGTTCACTCTGTGTGACTGTTTTGATAGGGTTTACTTTGCAAAGGCAATCAAGACAACAAGTTGGACGTGGAAATTTTGGAACAGCTTAAGTACATTGGGTGTGTTATTAAAGAGACCCTTCGACTGAACCCCCCAGTTCCAGGAGGGTTTCGGGTTGCCCTTAAGACTTTTGAATTAAATGTAAGTTAAAAGTTCTCTCTCACCCGCCCCTACCTTTTGCGTAGTAGTTTCAAATCTCCCTTTGTTTCCTGTGCTTTGACTTAAATTTCTTTTGATGACATTGCCCTGCCCCTGAAAGTCTGTTTTTTTCTCTCTCCACCTCTCTGTCTTCCTTTTCTTTCAACTCATAACTCCTCCAAGGATATATGTGTTAGATTTTTTTTCTTCCCTGTTGACAGCTGAATTTCAGTTCGTCAGCCCTTTGGACATCATAATCTTTTGCAGGGATACCAGATTCCCAAAGGCTGGAATGTAATCTACAGTATCTGCGATACTCATGATGTCGCTGATATCTTCAGCAACAAGGAGGAATTCAATCCTGACCGCTTTCTGCTGCCTCACCCAGAGGATGCATCCAGGTTCAGCTTCATTCCATTTGGAGGAGGCCTTAGGAGCTGTGTAGGCAAAGAGTTTGCAAAAATTCTTCTCAAAATATTTACAGTGGAGCTGGCCAGGCATTGTGACTGGCAGCTTCTAAATGGACCTCCTACAATGAAAACGAGTCCCACTGTGTATCCTGTGGACGATCTCCCAGCCAGGTTCACCCGTTTCCAGGGGGAAATCTGATGGGCTGGAAAGCCCAGACCTCAGACTTATTTGAAGTGTACAGAGGCATTTTTACCTAGTGTCATGTTGATTTGATTATATTTAATTTCTAAATGTATATTATAATATTTATGTGTCTCTTCTACAGTACTACAGTCTTTAAATATTAAAATAATGAATTTGGATAGTTTCCAAATAAAATAAAATCTGAAGGTGCTCGTCTTGCATTTAATATTCCTGTGAGAAAAAACTCACTGGTGTTATATTCATATATTTAACTAGATTTCTAATGTCTACAGGCATGACTTTGTCATCTGTGCCTATCTATTTTCTGGGAAGAAGAAACCTTACATGTTTTTTTCTCTTAATAGTTATTAGAAAATGTGTATTATATGTGTGTGTGAGTTAGTCCAAAGGTAATTTAGTAAATTTTTCCATGATAGTTTATATTCTGTATTTGGAAAAGCTATCAAAGTTAATTTAAAAAATGAAAAGGGGTTTGCTTTACTTTAGAGAAAGTTAAATTTGAAAAGAGAAAACTTTGAGTTGATCCTCTTCTAATACAACACCTTCAACCATAATCAGTACATTTAATACACATAATAAATACATGGTATTACATAGTGCCAGAACTGTTTTCTGAAATTAAAGTTTCAGGTAAGACAAAGTTATTGACTAAGACCCCAAATCACTGGCCTGTTTCCTTTACTCTGAAGTTGCATAGGAAAACAGTATTGGAAAAGGCCAATCTTTGGTTTAGATAAGCGAATCCAGGTTTTCTTTATTGAAAATAAGGCAGGAAGAGTAGATTTAGCAAACTGACAGATAAAGTTTTTATCTATGCCAGGCAATAGGGTGTGAGCCTGACATGACTGATAAAATGGCCCAGTCATGACCCTGTGAACCTTGGCTAACCTCCGCGAAAGCGCAATTTTGTCACATTTCTGACCCTGGCATAGCCATGTCCTGAACTGAAGGCCAGACTCTCAATCCAGAAAGGTTAGCCCGGTGACTTGCTTATGCAAGCACATTTTCAGTTTTGAAATGGCACAATCTGCTTACTGAACCTCTGACGGCTTGTAGGTTTTGGACTTTAAAATTTTCATTACAATTTTAGAATCTGGCAACACTGCAGAAAAACTGGGTGGTCTAAATAGGTGTTTGAAAAGAATTCTGACTACAATAAGAGTTACATGTTCTACCTGACTTTAGTTTTTTAGGTGAAACTTGGATTGTAACTTCAGTTGGAATCCTCTGATATTTTAAGGGGTATTTACAGAATAACTTATAATACCTTATAATAACCTTATAATACCTTTTTGTTTTTTTAATGAGAAATTACAGTTTTGTTGTTTTTTTTTTTCCAGTCAAAGCTTTAGTGTCCCTTGGTGTACAAAGCTGACCCTTCCCCCCATAACATTCACCCTGGATCATTCCAGTTAGGAACACACTAGCCTGAGGACATTATTTCCGATAATTTATCCAAGGTCATTTTTAAAGTGTTTTAATACTTCTCTTTTTGCCAGAGGACAGTCAGTGTTTCAAAACACCGTCTTAGGTGACTGCATGACCGTGTGTCTCTATGAGCATAGTGCAGAAAGAAATTTGAGCCATTTTATCATATAATTTAATTTTTAAAAACTGCCTTTATTTTTTATCCTGAGAGCTTGGAGGAAAGTGCTTCTGGCTTGCATTTCCCAGAGCAATTAGTCTAATTATACTCATCGATTACAGACTAGTACAGAAATTCATCTCGAAAATACATTAAAAACACAATCTTTGATAATGTGCTTAGTGCTGAGTAAAGGTGGTTTCCATGTGTGTGAGTGTGAGGCAGGATCAATGTTTGTGGGCTGCCGTGTGGCTTTAGATGGGCGTGGGTCACGTGATCTGGGCAGGTGTGTTTTACAGCCCAGGCTCCTGTGGATCAGCGTCCATGTGTCACCCAGTGGAGAAGCGTTTCAGGAGGAGGAGGTCACTGTTGTAGACTTGGCCGAAGTTGGGGAGGCAGGGAGACCACTGTAAGAAAGGACTCTTTGGGGCTCCCAGGGGCCTGGTACAGTGCTGTGCCCTCCTGGGCCTTGGGTGAACCTGCCAGCTGGCCCTCTGTTTCCCCTTCCTCATGTACCTCCTGCCCTGGCATCCTCCCATTCCTTCTTCAGTCAGGGGTATGGTGCCACCAAGGAGAGATTAGTCTCAAGACTGGCATGTGAAGACTTCCAGTTTAGTCCATAAAGCAGGACATCCATCGGGATTATAGCCTTCATCAGAGTAGCCCCAGAAGGCCCAGAGAGGGACTGTAACTTGCCCGGGGCCACCCAGGAAGTGGCAGAACCAGGAAGGACCTCCTGCTGCCTTTTCCTTCTTTCTTTTTCTCCCAACATCTAATAACACCTGCCTGATTTCTCTCTTTCTCTTACAGATGGCTAGGTCCAGGAGTGTCCACCTCCTAACTTCCCTTTGTGTCCCCCACCAACACTCTCTGTCCTGGGACAGTCCAGATCAGGAGACTGCAGGCAACTGGGGAAATGGGAGCAGAGACAGGAAGTGGCTGCTCCTCTTAGAACCCTCATCTTGGAGCTTTCAGGGTGCTTTTTGCATCCTGCCACCCACCAGAGGTCCACAAGGGGGCGGGCTTCTCCCTGCTATGCCAAGCTCAGCACCCCGTGGTTTCCCCACCAGTGTCCATGAAATCCAGGGTCCACAGACTCTGGCCCAGGGCCTGCTTTTACCCCAGACAGCAAGAGGCCACATTCACCCGTGGCTTAGCCTCAGTCTCAGGCCTGGTCGCGGCTGTTAGGCCCCTCCGGGAGGGTCACCCTGGCTGAGTTGATCTTTGATCTGTACCATCTTTTAGTTTCAGAAGCAGCCACCATCCGCTGTGAATCTGAGGTCAGCTAGCTCTAGTTTCAAGCCTTGTCCACATACTGCCTATGTTGCTTTCACCATCCTTGAGAAATGGCTCTGTTTTTTGGGAGTGGGGCCTATACTTTTCAACATATGTAGGCATACTAGTTCGTGTTCAGTATGACCCTCACCAGGCCTAGAAGCCACCTCACAAAAGCACTGTGTGAGGAACCAGGAATGTTTATAGAGAGGTTGTGGGGGCCCCACCTTCCTTCCAACGGTGAAAGGACTGCTATAGTAAATTCAGGTTCAGACCTGCTCTGAAGGACAGAGGAGGGTAAGCAAGAAGAAAGGAAATGTTAGGACCACGTAAGGAAAACCTGAGACAACTAGAGCCTGAGACTTGATTCTGTATCACTTCAATTGCTCAGATTCTTATTTTACTTTGAAATACAGATGAACTCCAATCTAGGGAGATGGGACATCCTGACAGCTTTTTTCAGAGGCATTCAGCAGTCCTTGGTGATCATTCCGCCGAAGCTCTGAGTCAAATGAGGTGGGACCTGTGGAGTCTGACGCGTGTCCTCAGACACGGAACCTCTATGCTGATGCTGGAAGACCTCTCTCCTGCCCTGTGACCTGGTGCTCGTGGCTCCCGAGTCCTGCGTCTGCTCTCGCACCCCCATACCTCTCACAGCTGTGCCATGCTGACCGTCCCCTTGACCTGGCTTCTGGGGTAATGCTCTGAGATGTGCCCCAGTGCTCCCCAGTCTCCACGATGCTGCACGCTGACATTGGACTCTGCCCAACTGTCCTCTCTCTCCATCTCCTGAAAAGTTACTCACAGGTAGGCACTGTGTATCATCACTGGAATCTTGTAAATTCAGCCCATTCTGGTATATCTCCCTGCCCTGCTCTGGAACACACTCACGCATAAGAGGTGTTCTTTGGGAGAGAACGTTTCTTGGGGCCGATCAACACCATTCACCTTATGTCTCTACAGCTTCACGGTGCCATGTTTTCCTTTGAAAAGTGAAACTTTGGTCTTTGGAAAGTCTCAGCAGCCACAAGCTTACACGGCTGTGGTTTAACAGCATGTCACATTCTTGAAACTGATGCTTCATGGGTTTTTGGCCAAACAAGCTTTCCTTCTTTTGAAGTAGAGTCAACTTGAGTTAGAACCCTGGGACACAATGAAAATTTAGCCCTGGATTACGTGGTGGGTTTTCTGGGTGAGAGTTATCATGTTGCAGTATTCATAACCGTGCACCACAGCACAGAAGCTGACGCATACCTTAGAGTTTCTCACCACTGCCAAACCCCTCCATTGACTATCCGGGGGTCAGAAATCTACTCACTCATTTCCGACCATAGAAATCTACTCACTCATATCTGACCATAGATGCTTCAAGAATTTTTTTTTTTGCTTCAAGAATTTTATCTGGGCAACTCACAGACTCATTTAACTCAAACACTTTGTGACAAGAGGACAAGGTGCTTTGCTTACAACAGATATTTGACAAAACCATGTTGATTCATTAAGTACAGTCATACTGTCCAACATAACAGTGATTTATTTAATAATAGAGTAGGGGATTTTGTATTTTGAAATGGAAGTTCATTTGTCAATTAGTCACAGGTTTTTAGGGCTGGAAGGGAGATTATGGATAGATCATCCAGGTCCCTCAATTTGCAGCTGAGAAATCTAAGGCTCACAGAAACGTAAGGTCACAACATAGAATTAGGATTGGCTGTTCAGTGTCTGGTACATTGTAGCATAGTCCTCAGTTGAAAAAAGACTATTGTATTTACATAAGTGTATATGTGTATACACACACACACACACACACACACACACACTCAGGTGTCAGGAATCAAGGGCAGGTGAGCACATTATTTGAGACTAAATTGCTTACAGGTTCTTCCTTCTACTGTGACTCAAATCATGCTGGGTACAGGCTGCTGGCGTTTCTTGTGGGGCTGGGGGCTGGCACTGCATATTAGTAGAGCTGAACCCTCAGCATTTTAAGTGCCTTCTTCTGAACAGTTGAAAATGGATTCTGTTATGGGTTAAATTGCATCTCTCTTCCTGGAAGAAAAAAAAGATGTTACCTCTATGTTACTGTCTAACCCTCAGTACATAGGAATGTGACTTTATTTGGAAATAGGGAAGTAATCAAGTTAAAATGAGGTCTTTGGTGTGGCCCTCATCCAATTTGACTGGAGTCCGTATAAGAAGGGGAAATTGGTACACAGGGAGATGCACACAGAAGGAAGATGAAGTGAAGACGTGTGTGGAAACGCCGTGTAGAGACGGAGGACTGAAGTGACGAATCTGCAACCTAAGGAATGCTGAAGATTCCCGACAAACCTCCAGAAG